CTCCGACCGAAACCCGAGCCTCAGCTCCCAGCCCCGCCCGCCCCGGCGGGTGAGCGCACAAGCCTCTCGGGCTGGTGAGCGCCGGTCGGCCCTGATCCTCTGTGTGGGAATCTCGCCGCTTTGTCCTCTGCACCCCTGTGGCTGCGCTGTGCTCCGCGGCCCCGAAGCTCCCCACCTCCGCCACCCGCAGTCTCTGCCCGCGAAGGGGCTTCTAGTGTGTGGAAACTTTTCCTCCTTCACAGCTCCCTCCCACTGTTCTTGTCTCTCTTTTTTCTCTTGCCCTACCCAGGTACATGGGGCGTTTCTTGCCTTTTGGGAGGTCTGAGGTCTTCTGCCAGCGTTCAGTAGGTGTTCTGTAGGAGTTGTTCCACGTGTAGATGTATTTCTGATGTATTTGTGGGGAGGAAGGTGATCTCCACGTCTTACTCCTCTACCATCTTGAAGGTCTCTCCCTTATAATTGTTTTAACATGGTAATTTCAGAATAATTTTTACTCATTTTTGGAAGATGTGATTATGAAGCAGGTTCTTGGTCCTTGTGGTACATTTTTCTTAAGTCAAATAGTGATGCTGATTTGCATACCTCAAGATGGTGTGAAGGAGCTGCATCAGATGCTCTCATTCATTTACTTATTGAACAAACCTTTAGGGAGTGCCAACGATGAGTGCAAACTCGTGTCAGTCCTGAATAACTTGTATCTTGGTTTTGTTTTTCATTGTTTATTTTTTTTGGCCTTAGTGTATACTCTCTCCCCTTAATCCATAGCCGAGGGTGTTTTAAGTTGGCTGAACTCATAAAAAGCCTCAACCTGGATACTTTAAAATTTTTACCTTTTGTGTCTTAGTCTATTTGGAGACTCAAAGATGGGAACTCTTCCAACCAAATGTAGATACTCAAATAGACATGAAATTTTGTGTATTTTTTCAGGGGTTTGATCCCCACCCCCAAAGCCCACTGGGACCCAGACAGTGTTTCATTTGGGCCGCAGCATATGTTTAGAGAGGTACTGGAAGACCACTCTGGGCAGGAGCTCAGGCGGAGTTTCCTGAAGGGCAAAGCAAGAGATGAGAACTTTCTACTGTAAGTTGTGTGGACTCCTTGAAAGTCTCTGAGAAGAGTGGGCTTCTGGAAGAGTAAGCTAGCAGCAGTTTAAAATACAGGTTTGAAGGCAGGAGATTAGGGTTGGGAAGGTAGGTTTGGAGACTTGCAAAATCTGGACAAGTAACAATGACATTAGCAACTGAAGTAAGAAATTTTTAAAAGGTGATGGCGTACATACAAAAGAGAAAGGGATCTTGTGGGAATCAGATCACCAGACTCTCTTGAGTTGGTTTCCATCCTGGACTCAAAACCTCCTTGGTGTGCTTTCCCACAATTGTCGCTGTGTGGCTCTTCCCAGCTACTAAGCGTTGTTGAGGGAGCACCAACTCCAACAGCTGATACCCTTTAAAGAGAATAATTTCCAGATTCAGTGTTGCTCCAGAGAATGTTTACTTCCTCCGTTTGGCTTCTGTTTACTCATTGCAGTTGGTTTTTTAAAACAGTCTCCTCAGCCTCTCTGTAACCCAAACTCACTTAAAGTCACCTCAATCTTTATCTTCGTCCCATCAGGCTCCAATAATCCATTTTATCCGCTGCTACCAGATTAATCCTTCTGAGGCTCCCATCTGATCTGTGCCATTTGCGACCAGAGATCTCACTTCAGACGTTCAGTGACTCAGAGTAAAGTCCTCCGATGACGAATTTCCATAAGTACTTGTGATCCCACCTCTTCTCCCTAAGAACCTTGTTTCACAAAGTTCTCAATCTCTTCCCTACATCTTCAGCCTCTTACTCTCCACTGGCTCTTGCAGCTCAGCCTACTGACGTGATCCCATCTCCCCATCCTGACACATTTCCATCAGTTGTGCTCCGTTACCTTAAGAAATAAAATCCGACTCCCTAAAGAGGTTTGCAAAAAACAAAAACAAAAACTGCAAGCCCTTGTCCTTGAGCGACCATCCTATTCGGCTGGCTTCTTCCCTTTATACTCAAAGTTCGTTAAAAAAATGTAAAGTCCTCATTATCTCCCCAGTCATGGAAAGCAAAAACTTAATTCTTGCTTCTCTGTCCTCCCCTCCATGTGTATCCAGAAAATTACCAAGATAATTCTTCCCCGTGCTGGATTGCATCTTTTTCTCTGTGTCCCTTCTGTCCCTCCAGACGAGTGCAGTGGCCTCCTCATTACTTTCTCTGCCACCTGTTTCTTCACACTCCAGTTCAAGATGCCATTGCTGTGAAAATGATACTGCTAAGAAGCACATCTGGTTGTGTCCTGGTGGTAGGTCTTCTCAGTCAGGCTAATTAAAATTGAGCCCCTCCTCCACCAAGGCACTCCTGATCTCATTTAACTTGTGTCATAGTCACTTTTTTTCTTTTCTCCCCCAAGCAAGTATCTTCTCCCATACTCTACAGTTGATTTAGCTTGACTGTGTAATGTCTGCTCCTCACCCTACCTCCCAGGGTAAGCTCCATGAGTTGGCATTTTTATCTATTTTGCTTACGGAAATAGCCTTAGTTTCTGGTGCAGGGTGAGCTTTCCATACATATTTGTTGAATGTCATAATGTCAATCCCCGTTTTCAAATTCTCTTCCTTCTCCCTCTGGGTATAGGATAAAACCCAAACGCCTAATAAACTTCCCCCAGGCTTGCAGGATCTGGCTCCAGCCCCCTCTCGCACCTCTCACCTCTGGTTCCCCATCTTGGCTGACACTCCGGGTTTCTCTGGGCTTCTTGAAGCTCCCAGACATGCCATGTTCTTTCAGGCCTCTCTGTTCCTTTTGGATCTCTCCTCTCTCTTCCTCACGTGGGGAGAACAGTTCCTTTTCTTTCAAAATCTAGCCCCAAATGGTACATGGCACGACCGGGGTGGGGGGTGTTTTCCAACTCTGTGAAGCAGAGTCAGCTTCCCCTCTTTGCCTCCGTTGAATTTGGCGGAGGTCCCCCGTCACAGCAGTTTTCCACACTGATGCCTCTGTCTCTTCTGCTAGAGTCTGCTCAACCATGTCCAGCTCTTCTGTGCATCTGCTCCAGAAATAATCAGTGTCCGGCGCACTGTTAAGTGGTCACTTAAGACAATGATTGAAAAGAGGGGCTTACCCATGCATTGAACCATGTCAAGTCAAAAGTTCAAAGCGGGCTTCCCTGGTTGCGCAGTGGTTAAGAATCCGCCTGCCAATGCAGGGGACACGGGTTCTTGCCCCGGTCCGGGAAGATCTCACATGCCACAGAGCAACTAAGCCCGTGCGCCACAACTACTGAGCCTGTGCTCTAGAGCCCGCGAGCCACAACCACTGAGCCCGTGTGCCACAACTACTGAAGCCCACGCACCTACAGGTCATGCCCCACAACAAGAGAAGCCACCGCACTGAGAAGCCTGCGCACTGCAACGAAGAGTAGCCCCCCGCTCGCCGCAACTAGGGAAATCCCGTGCACGGCAATGAAGACCCAACACAGCCAAAAATAAATAATTAGTTAATTAATTTTTTAAAAAGTTCAAAGTGCCTTCGCCATGCAATATGTCCAAATCATTACTGCCTTCCCCCCCAAATTTATGCCCCCTACGTTCCCAGCTTCCGTGAATGAAGGGGGCCACTCCGCCGATGTGAACGTGGCCATCAGGAATGATCTGCCTCCTCTCCCTCATCCACCCAGTCAGTCCCGGGTCCTGTTGACTCTTGGCTTCCCAGATGTCAGTCAAATTCATCTACTTCCTTTCCATCTTGCCCAGGAGCCTTTGTCAACCTGTCGTCATCTGTCACCGTTGCACATGGCCCGGCATATGGTTGAGGGTTCCATATGTATCTGTTGAATGATTGAATCTCCTGGTTAAAACCATATTGGATGGTAGCAGGTAGAACATCAGGCTGTAAGATCGAGATTCCAAGAGCAGCCTGTGTTGCAAAGTCCAGGAAATTTTTCTGAAGGATGGTGTCAAGAGGCCCAGCAGAGTGGTTCTGGGTTGGCCGCAGCTCTAGATGTAATTGGACTTTCTGGAACGGCGAGTCCCTCCCACCTGCCTTGATTTCGCCAAGGAGGTTATTTTCTCTGATTATGCCTGTCATAAAAATTCAAGTCAGGGTCTCTTTACCTCCCTGAGATCTATAGATGCTCATGTACGTCAGAACAGAGTTTTATTCCAAGTGATAAGCGGTCAGAGTGATTGAGGCCCTTAAGAAAGGGTCCCCTGGGCATTATGAGTTTGAAGGTCTTCATGTCCTCAAAATGTCAAGCCGTTGGGATTAGTCTAGATGGTACCCAATGTTGCGCTCAACTCTCAATTTACAGGAATTTTTTTTTTTTTTTAATTAAAGCAAAGCACCAGGAACAAAAAGACCTAGAGGAATTAAGACAGTTGTAAAATCTCATGAGGTGTAAGTGTTTCTAAAAATGGTCAGTGGATTTTAAGGTGGAGGCACTCATTCAGTAGATTGTAGCGCTTCTGCAGGTCTGGGTGAAACGTGGTTGTAGGAAAGCGCATTGTGGGTGGTGGAGATGCTGGCACTGGAATAGACGGTTGATAAATGTTTTCTCCCTCCTCTTAGCTGACGGTGTTATAGTGATGGCATCTGCCAAGTCTTATTTGAGAAAGTGCTGGACCAATAGCTACACTGACTGTCATTTGACTCTTCGGATGCCCTGTCCCTGCCTCGTAGGGGAGGCTGCGATGGGTCAGGGGCGCTCTGTTCCTCCTCCAACACCTCATCCTTCTGCTGAAGCCTAGGTGAAGGCTGGGCAGATTTGGTTGGGGTGCTCCAAATTCCTAGGGTTGGGGTGACTGTCACCAGCCTTTAGAACACGTTGGTATGACTTCCATTCCAAAAGGCAGAAAGAGAAGCGGGAGTTGGGTCATGTGGTTTCTGTTATCTGTAACCATGGCAAGCATTGGCCATCTGTGAGGCTCCCATTTTAACGCTTTTCCTTCTCTCGCTCTTTTCCATCTCTTCCTCGGGGAAACAAGCTGAGGAAGTGGAGAGGCTGGCGGCAATGCGATCTGACTCCCTTGTCCCGGGTACCCACACCCCACCCATCCGGAGGAGGAGTAAGTTTGCCAACCTGGGAAGGATTTTCAAGCCTTGGAAATGGAGGAAAAAGAAGAGTGAAAAGTTCAAACACACGTCTGCAGGTAAGATTATGTTTTCCTTTGTTTCTCATCGGGCATTTGTTGACTTCAGCTCTGTACGTTCATTGGTAGAATTTAATTACCCCAGGCTGTCGGAACCAAAGGAAGAGAATCCAGCCTTAGCATTTTGCTCTTGTGTTTAGTAATCCTTCAGAATGATGGAGAATGGCTTTTAGATCCTATGTGTGTTCTCATGGCTCAGGTTTTTGGTTGTTGCTTTGCAATTTATAAAACCACCACTTCTGTTTGATCTATAAACAGCTGAACTTAGAGCTCCACCTTTCCCATACCTGTATGCTTTCATTCTAGCGTTGACAGTCCATTTCTCATTTTTCATCCCTATTTTCCCCGCTCCCATAAAAATTAACACAGGAGCAGAAAGTAAGTTATATATGGTTATTGGCAGATAGGAATAGGTTATTTCATGGAGACAGAAGCTTGAGTAAGTGAAGCATCATTGTACTGACAAAGATAACTATATAGTTCATAGCCTAGTGGACAGCAAAGGAATCTGGGTAAAGTGAGCCTGGCAGGGGTGTGAAGAGCACAGACTCTGCAGTCAGACTGTATGAGTTCAAGTCCCAGCTCTGAAACTTGGTGGCTGCATGGCCTTGCTCAATTTAACTCTGTACCTGTTTCCCACCTGTAAGATAGGGGTGAGACTAGTACCTTACGTGACTTAGTATTTGTGGGGTGTTTATGGCGGCACGTTATGTGGATATTTTTTAATAAGCAAGAGTATTGCAGAGGGAGAGGTACAGGGAAAGAAAAGTGAAGAATTCTGATTTGACCCTGTCGGGTTTGACGTGAGGTGATGGAGGAGCCGTGCAGATTCTTTTTGTTTTGTCCTGATTTTGGTATTTATGTACCCGGGTCATTCCAGGGATACTCTGGGGCTTTTATTTCCTTCCTCCTCTATGTCCTCAAAAATTCAGCCTGTCCTCCCTCTTCCTCAGAATCATCACCTCCTCTATTTCTTGATCCTCTCCCCGCTTTGGCTCACGTCTAAACTGTGAAATAGGCGATGATCTGCTTCTTGTACATGAATACTCGTCCACAAGTCTGAGAATTTTCATGCTAGCTGCTTTGCGGAATGAAAGAGGAGAACAAACATAGGAACGTTGCGAAAAGTCTTGGAAACTGAAACAGGTCTCATGGTAGACATCCCCAGTTTCATGCTTTCTGACTGTTTCTGAGATGGAAACCTCCGTGCCCTGTGGCTGTATATGATTTGTTCATTCCTGAGATTACAGTGAGCCTCTGAATTCCATGAATTTCTAAATTGTCACCCCGCTGACATTTACCTGACTACACCCCACTCTTCACCTGACTACATTCTCCCTTTTGATCGTTGTACAGACGTGTTAAGGTGTCATAAAATGTGTAGGTCACTTACATATTTCTAAACACTACTGAGAGATTTACATGCAAGGAAAACTCTAAATGGATGACTCCTCAGTATCACCTAAGAGTGAAACAGAATAGGGCACTTATATCATTGCCTTGGAGAGGAGAAATCTAAATGAAATATATTTTCAGGCAGAGTGAGGGGTAAGACATGTGAGCAGGAAAGAAGAAGGGAATGTTCTGTAAGCACTGGAAAAAATAACAATAAAGATTCCACAAGTTCCGGGCTTCCCTGGTGGCGCAGTGGTTGAGAGTCCGCCTGCCGATGCAGGGCACACGGGTTCGTGCCCCGGTCCGGGAAGATCCCACGTGGCGCAGAGCGGCTGGGCCCGTGCGTCATGGCCGCTGAATCTGTGCGTCCGGAGCCTGTGCTCCGCAACGGGAGAGGCCACAACAGTGAGAGGCCCGCGTACCGCAAAAAAAAAAGAAAAAAAGATTCCACAAGTTCCTTTACGATGGTCTTCCTGGCTTTGCTATGAAAATGGTTTGTAATAATACAAACATCCATTTAAATAATTGCCATTTATCAGCATGAATTCCTGAATGACGGTGTGGTAGATGCATTTCCTCCTGGCATTCAAGAGCTTTGCTTAGTCCATTTGGCAAGACCACAGGGCGAAGGTCTGGTGCTTCTCATGTGAAATGGCACCTGAACCATCATGCAGACTTTTTAAGGTGTCGGAGGGCTTCCCTGGTGATGCAGTGGTTAAGAATCCGCTTGCCAATGCAGGGGACACAGGTTCAAGCCCTGGTCCAGGAAGATCCCACATGCCACAGAGTAACTAAGCCTGTGCGCCACAACTACTGAGCCTGTGCCCTAGAGCCCACGAGCCACAACTACCGAAGCCCACGCACCTAGAACCCGTGCTCTGCAACAAGAGAAGCCACTGCAATGAGTAGCCCCGCATGCAGCAACGAAGACCCAATGCAGCCAAAAAAAACAAAAAAGATGTTGGAGAACTTGTCCTTTGATGGATGCAAGTACAATGGCATCAAACTACTCATGAACCATTAAAAGTCTGAAAATGTTTTCATTTAAAACTTTTGAGAGAAAGAATTAAGACATGAGACAGGCAAAGTTGCAGCTTTAATCCTTCTTATTATTAACTATTCTTAGCAAGTTCTTGTGATCTCGAGGGCCAAACTGATTAATTTGGCAACCGAATGCCATATTTGTATGTGGTTTTATTGTATTGTATTTTTTTGTATGTGGTTTTATTTTAAAGAGACATATTCAGCTCCTGAATTAGAGAAAATAGAGGATAGGCTATAGCATATCTATATATCGTGATGGATGGTTCTATGATATAACAAGCTATTCTAGGTTTTTTGAAATCAGTGGTTTACACTGTAGTATCTTTTGTTCTTAACTGGATTCAGAAATATTATTCCTTATTTTTGGAAATAAGGAGAGACTTTCTGTGCTAGCTTTTAGCTCCAAGGAGAAAAATGCTGACAATTTAAGGATGCTTAACATGATAAATTGTATATATGTTCAAATAGTACTTTGAAGTATAGACTTTCCTATGCGTGGATACGAGTCGAATATTAAATATACAAGAGGGTTGACTGTGGGAATATTAATTGGTTGGCCAGTTTTAGCTGTTATGCATTTACTTGTCTTATATGTGTGTGTCTATAATGTCCTTTCATATGTACAATAATTTCCACAATTTTAAATACAAAGAATAAGTCCAGATATTACATTTATATTATGTATTTGTATTTAAAGTTGTGTGCTTTCTTGATTACACAAAAGGACATTAATACAAGGCATACTTGGCCTGTTATTATTTCCACAGTGAGTTAGTTACCTTTATAATTTGCCGGAATTAGCTATACTGTAGTTTTACTGTAACTCAAGTTACAAGATGTATGTGTCTGTGTATGCAGCATTTTCAAAGGTGCACCCAGAAATCTTGCTTTGTAAGTCGTAGTAGCAATAAGAAAACTACATTGGAAAATTATGATGTCAACATTTTCCTTAACTTTGGCATCAACAATTACATGAATTTTTCAAAGACCGATTTCCGTGTCCCATGCTGCTCAGACATCTTCCTATCGTAAGCTGGAAGCTGGTGTCCTTAAACGGCCTTCAGCACTGAACTCTGGTGGAGAAAACACTGCAGGACAAAATGCTTCTCTCAGAAGCATCCCCGCATCACACGACAGTAGGAGTAAAACAGTAATGGATAGAACGTAAAATAATGGGTCCTCGGGGAGATCTCAACATGCCTTTCAGCCTGTCCTCAGAGGCTCTGTCCAGGGCCTGTGAAGCAATTAGCCTGACATGTCCAATTTCTTCTCTGGAATCAGCAACAGGGGTCCACGACACGTTCCACACCTGCCCCAGGAGCAAAGACAGATGACAACATCCCCTCTGAAATAGAATTGACAGGGCCTCCCCAAAATAGTCAGCTGCAGCCATCTTATCCAGATTCCTTGGAAATGAGGATTGTATTTATAGAAAAGCAGAACTGGCAGGAATAAGCTGTGAAGACGCCACCGAGTTATGCTTTTATTTCCTCTTGAAAGAAAATCATAAGCTGCAAGAGTTGGCCCTGGAAGTCTACAACGTGCCAAAATTCGCCTTGTGCTTCTAAGCTTTCCTGCACCCCTAGGGCCTTGAGCAAAAAAATTAAAAATAAAAACCTTTTCCGGAGTGCCTACCACTTACTGAAACTGGCCGTGGGAGTATGACTGCAAGCGGAAACCAGACCCTTGTTGGTGAGCTCATGGCATGCACGGTGTCTCTGGAGAGACAGTCAAATTACAAGAGTAAAGGTTAAGATCACAGCTGTGATAAGGACAGTGAAGGGATGCTACTTGAAAGAATGAGGGGGGCGGGGCTTGAGGGAGCAGGGAAACTTTCCTAAGAAGGAGAAGTTTGAGCTGGGCTCTGAAGGAGGCATAGGAATTTAGAAAATTAGCCTTCCAGGTAGCAGAAACAGCATGTGCAAAGGCCCTGTGGTGGAAGAAGCAGGGGTCAGCCAGCTAGGAAAGCAAGGATGACCAGTGGCTGGAGAATGGAAAGCAAGGAGTATGGGATGGGCTGAGGATATCTACCTGGCCAGAGGCTAGGATTTCAGACTTCTGTAAACCATAGGGAGTTCAGAAACGATACCCACTTGGCATGTTGCGCTTATGTATTTGCCAAGCACTGCTACCGTCGCTAAAAAAAGGTAACAGTGCACACAGACATCTCCCAGAGGTTATGGTCTTGAGGGAAAAACGGGTAGTTAAGCCAATACTTACAACAAAGTATAAGCGACAGAAGATGTGCAGGGGCTCCAGGAGCTCAAAGGAGACAAACCCAACTGAGCTATAATTTACCAGGAAAGGTTTCCTAGAGAAATGAATGTTTAACCAAGGAATTAGGCAGTGAATGTGAGGAAGTCTTCTCTCCCAGTGGAAAGAACAGGATGTAAGAAAGCCTGGAAAAGAGAGGAGGAGAGATTGGCAATCTATAGCTTGGAAAGAGGTGCTGGTTTGGAAAGGACTGTTGGGCAGGGAGGAGTACAGAGTACTGAGAGATGAGGTTGAAGAGGTGGGTAAGGGTCTGCTCATAAAAGTTCTTAGTAGAACGTCGTGGAGTC